GAACCTGCTCACCTCTAAGCCTTCCTCATCACAGGAACTGGTGCTACTGACATTCAGACTGATTTTTAAGGAATCCTCTTTACTCTTAGCTTCTCCGCCCTCCACATTCAGTGCGGTAACATTAGAATATTCCAGGTGTGGTCACCTCCACTGTTTATAATGTCAGGTCACTGTGGTCATCTCTTGACCTTTAATATGTTCTCAGTTACAGTCTACAAAGCAACCAAAGGACCCACAAGAAAGTAAAATATAAACCATCACCACCTGCCTAAAACTCCAAGTGGTTTTTGACTAACTAAAGTAAAAGCCCCATCTCCAAGGCCCTAAGACCTGGCTGCCATGAGCTTTGAGACCCCTCCCAGGGACTCCTCTCACCCCCACCTACAAGGCCTCCTTGTTGCTATGAACCCAGCCATTGAAATTCAAGCCTCTGAGCTTGGCTACTCTGCTCCTTAGGCCTGGCAGGCCCTGGCCTTGACCTTCTCATTCCTTCTCACTATTCAAGTCTGCCCAATCTCACTGCCTCCAAGAACTGTCTTTTTTATTATTATTACTTTTTAGTTACAACACAATACTTTTATTTTGTTTATACTTACCTCACACATGCTAGGCGAGTATTCTACCCGCTGAGCCACAAACCCAGACCCAGTCTTTTTAATTTTTAATTTTTTAAAAATATTTATTTAGTTGCAGATAAACACACAGTATCTTTATTTATTTTTATGTGGTACTGAGGATCAAACCCAGTGCCTCACATATGCAAGGCAAGCATTTTACCATTGAGCTACATACAGCCCCAGCCCCCACTAGAACTGTCTTTTAACACCTAAAACTAAACCAGTCTCCACCAGTATAGCCCCTGACCAAGCCACTCCCTGTGGGTGTCCACCGTGACTTCTTTTCATCATTATGTTGGTACTCTGCCATTTGTGGTTATTTCCTAGAGTGTCATCTATCTCTTCTTTTCAGATAGCTCAAAAAGGAAGGTCAGGGATGGTTATCTGCTGTGGTCACCACTGTGCCCCCAGTGCCCAGCATTTAATGGTCATTCAATAAAGATTCACAGCCCGGTGTGTTTGCCTAGTGCTCTGGACTCTGCCCCTCTCAGCAGCACTGGGGTATGGCGAGGGGTGCGGTGCTCTCAGGCTTTACCTTTACTACCATTTTCTTGGCAGATCCCTCGCCCACATCCAGGAGAAATATGGCCCGTACATCGCAGGAGCCTTCTTTGTCCTGAAGCAGGGAGGTGCAGTCAAGTATGACAGCAAAGGTTTCTGTTGTGGGTTGGGAGGGGCAGCAGGGTTCCGATACCAGCCTCTGCAGTCAAATGGGCTTTCCTGTGTACCAGTTTTTGTCACCTAGTGGCTGTGGGGTGTGGGACCTGTTCCTGGGCTTCTGTTGTGTCATTTATAAAATGTGATTGATGATTGTAGCTAATCAACAAGGTTTACAGTAAGGGCTGGAATTCTGTAGTCTAAACATCTGTAATGAGACCTTGCATAACATGTGCTCAATAAAATTGGTTAGTCATTGCTATAGTCTCAGCACCTACTCAGGAGGCTGAGGCAGGAGGATTGCGTGAGCCTGGGAGTTCAAGGCCAGCCTGAACAGCATAGCTAGACTTCATCTCAAAAAGAAAATAGTTTTTCTTTTTCTTGCTCCCTCTCCCCACTTGATTCTCCTTCTCTTTCTCCTCCTTCCTGATATTTTTTCCTTCTTTTTGGAAAAATAGTTCCCGGAAGATTCATCTAATCCTCATGTTTGTTTCATTTGAAAAGCTTACCTGACCAGGCACAGTGGTGCACACCTGAAACCCCAGCAACTCAGGAGGCCAAAACAGGAGGATTGCAGGTTTAAGACCAGCCTGGGTAACTTTGCAAGACCTTGTCTCAAAATAAAAAAAAAAAGCACTGGAGTTGTAGCTCAATGATAGAGCACTTGTCTAGGACATTGAAGGTACTGAGTTCAATCCTCAGCACCACATAAAAGTAAATAAATAAAGGTATTGTGTCTGTCTACAACTAAAAATATATATTTAAAAAAAAATAAAAGTAGCTAAGGATGTAGCTCAGTAATGAAGCACCCCAGGTTCAATCCTCAGTACTGCAAAAATTTTAAAAAATAAACAACTTGGACCTAGTCTGAGCACTTCCTTGAGCAACCTCCTTAGGACAGTCTGGAATGCCTGTAACCATTGACCATCTACAAGGACTGATGCACCTAGCTCTGTGCTCATATGTTATCTGTATTCCCTAGGCCTCTCAGCCTCCAGGTGTGTGAGCCTGGACAAGCATTCCATCTGTGTTGGAATTGTCATGGGATCCAACAAGGCCCTCGCCGTGAGGCTCTCAGCACAGGCTGATGTGTATACCGGAAGTGTGTTAGTGCAGTCGCTTTATCATAGGGGCAAGGGAGGGTTCTGGGGAATTGGAAACATTAGTATCAGTACTCCCTCCCTCTCCCCCCTCCTTTGGTACTGAAATTGAGCCAAGGGGTACTTTACCACTGAGCTACATATATAGCCCTTTTTATTTTTTTGAGACCGGGCCTTGCTAAGTTGCTGAGGACCTCACTAAACTGCCGGCTGTCCTTGAACTTGTGATCCTCCTGCCTCACCCTCCTCAGTTGCAGGAATTATAGGCTTGCACTGCCACCCCTGGCTTCCCTCCCTCTCTTCTGCAGGTTTCAGGACCATGAGTGGATCAGGTCGGATAAGCGTGGCCATTTCTTCCTTGAGTTCTTGAAGTTACAGACAGTGCCTGTGCAGGCTGTGGACGCCAGTGGCTGTGCCATCAACTATGACGGCCTGGACAACCTCTGTGAGGGGGCAGAAAGGGAAGGGGTCGGAGGGCCTCTGCATCTTCCTTTCTGGTGGTAGGCTCCAGACAGCCCCTGCTACCCTCCTGCCTTCTCCCACTACAGTGCCCCTGAAGGAGCTCCAGTCCCTGTCGCTGCAGCGCTGCCCCAATGTGGACGACTGGTGTCTCAGCCGCCTCTACCTGCTGGCCGGTTCACTGCAGGAGCTCTCACTATCAGGGTGTCCCCACATCTCTGAACGGGGCCTTGCCTGCCTCCACCACCTCCAGTAAGACCTCAGCTCAGCCTGGGCCCTGCCCTAGGGCATCTCCCACCCGACCCTGATGCTGGAGAGAAAGTGGGGAGGGAGCAATTTTGGGCTGTCCCTATACCCTAAGGTTGTGGGGTAGGTATGGATGAGCAGTCGCAGCACATGTCTGGAAGAATTAAAATGATGGTTTTCTTTTAATGAAGCCTTCATGGTATTTACACTAATGCAGAACAATGT